CCTCAGCACTCTTGGGTGCATCCCATCTGGGCCCAGAGATTTTTGAGTGGCCAGTTTGCCTAAGTGATCCCTAACCCAATCCTTCTCAACCCAAGGAAGGTCTTCCTCTAGCCCATTTACATCTCTTCCATTTGTGCCCTGCAGTTCATGGGGGGTCGCCTTAGCAGTAAAGACAGAGGCAAAGAAGGCATTTAGTAACTCTGCCTTCTCGGCATCCTCCGTCACCAAGGCCCCTTCCCCATTCAGCAGTGCACTAACATTTTCCCTCGTCTTCCCTCGTCTTTCCCTCGTCTAGATAAATTGCTAGGAAGTACAGATTTTAGAGTTTCAAACATTCAGCCTATAGAAGTCTAATTCTCATTTGTCAATTTGCTGAACCAGCTGCAAGGCTCTGCAAGAATATAAAATCTAATTGAAGGATTTATGAAACAATCTGACAGACTATAAGCTGCTATTTTAAAGTCAATCACTAACATCATACAAAAATTCTTGATAGTCTTATAAAGAAAAATGACTATATTTTCAGTGGGTAAAAGCTAAGAGAACCTAATGTAACATTAAAAAAAAAAAAAAAGACCAAAAAAAAAATTAGCCATGAAAAGATGTTTTTATTTTTAATTTTCTCATAAATAAATTTGTCTTAATTGCTCTAAAATCTGTGGAAAATTTCGCTTCTATGTTTTTTAAAAAACTTCTGCTTTAAGGGTCCTCTTTAAGGCAGAAAGAAATAAAACCTCCATAATATCCCTACTACGTGATACGTTATGTATTTATTCATGTAGCAGTATTGTGTGACATTTTTTCAATAAGATCATCAGGATAACAATGGCAGTGATAATTTCTTATTTGCAAGTACAACATAAAGCTATAAAGTTGCTAACAAAGGTCCTGGAAGTTTCTGCAGTGCGTCAATGACAACTTTTTGACACAGGTTGTTGAGGAGCTGACGAGAATAGATGGGCTACTGGACCTCATACTAACAAACAGAGAGGGACTTGTTGGAGATGTGAAGGCAGCTTTGGCTGCAGCGATCACGAGTTGGTGGAGTTCAGGATCCAACGAGGAGCAGGCAGGGCAGTAAGTAGCCTTGCCACCCTGGACTTCAGGAGGGCCAACTTCAGTCTCTTCAGAGACCTGCTTGGAAAGATCCGATGGGGTAGGGCTCTAGAAGGAAGAGSGGCCCAGGAGAGCTGGTCAGATTTCAAGCAGCATTTCCTCCATGCCCAGCAACAGTGCATCCTTGTGCGCAAGAAGTCAGGCAGAGGGGGCAGGAGACCTGTGTGGACAGTTTGCACCAGCCTATCAGCATCGGTCACGTGATTTCTGGCAATGCACCAATCAGAGAATGCTAGCAGGTGCGTGAATAGCTCTGTAGTGTATAAAAGATGGGGAGGATTGCAATAAAGCAGCTCATGCAGATCATATTGGTAATGGTGTGAAGTCCTTTAAAGAGCTGTTGTCATCAATCAGTGCTGTAGAGTCCACTTGGAGGCCTGTAGTTAGCGGTGTCTCCCAGGGGTCAGTCCTTGGTCCGGTCCTGTTCAACTTATTCATTAACGACCTGGATGAACGGATGGAGTGCTCCCTCAGCAAGTTCGCTGATGATACCAAACTGGGAGGAATAGCTGATAGCCCTGAGGGCTGTGCTGCCATCCAGAGAGACCTGGACAGACTGGACGACTGGGCGGCGAGAAATCTCATKAAGTTCAATAAGGGCAAGTGCAGGGTCCAGCACTTGGGGAGGAATAACCCCGGACACCAGTACAGATTAGGGCTTGACCTGCTGGAGAGCGGCCCCGCAGAGAGGGACCTCGGCGTCATGGTGGATGACAAGATGACCATGAGGCAGCAGTGTGCCCTGGTGGCCAARAAGGCCARCGGGATCCTGGGGTRCATTAAGAAGAGCGTSTCCAGCAGGTCGAGGGAGGTGATCCTCCCCCTCCACACAGCTCTGGTGAGGCCACATCTGGAGTACTGTGTCCGGTCCTGGGTTCCACAGTACAASAGGGATGTGGAGCTGCTGGAGAGAGTCCAACGCAGGGCTACGAAGATGATGAGGGGCCTGGAACATCAGCCCTATGAAGAAAGGCTGAGAACTGGGCCTGTTCAGCCTGAAGAAGAGAACGCTAAGGGGGAACCTGATCAGTGTCTATAAATACCTCAAGAGAAGTAGTGAGGAGGATGGGGTTGGTCTCTCTTCAGTGGTGGCCAGCAACAGGACTAGAGGAAACGGCCACAAACTGAGGCACTAAACGTTCCAGAGGAACTTAAGAACAAATTTGAGAGGCTGAGTGAGCTGGGCCTTTTTTCTCTGGAGAAGAGATGGCTCAGAGGGGATATGATTAATATGTATAAGTTCAGGAAGGGAGAATGCAGGGAGGAAGGGGACAGGCTGTTCTCACTGGTGGCCAGCGATAGGACGAGGGGTAATGGCCACAAACTGAAGCATAAGAAGTTCCGTCTCCAGGTGAGGAGCAACTTCTTTACTGTTAGGGTGACAGAGCAGTGGAACAGGCTGCCCAGGGAGGTTGTGGAGTCTCCTACTCTGGAGGTCTTCAAAACCCGCCTGGATGCCACCCTGTGCCACATGCTCTAGGTGTGCCTGCTTGAGCAGGAAGGTTGGAC